GGTTAACTGTAGGAATCACCAGCCAGCTTCTCTCTTTTTGTTAATGTGAACTACCAGTATCCAGCAATGATTTTTGACACAGCAGTGTCTTCATTCGTTCATTTACTGACATCGAGGAAATTGATATCCTCAGGAAAAGACTATGGCATCTGACCCACTGGAAAAGTAGAGATTTAATGTTTTGGGTTGGGATTCAGAGCGCAGAGCCTGGGAGCCACACAACTGGAAGCATCCTTTGCAATTACATGTCAAAACCAATCATGAGTTTTCTAAATGAATAAAATTGTTGGTTTTGATAACTGACCAAAAACTATTCCCAGGTGAAATATAGAAGTCTTACTTAAAGTACTGTCCACAGAATCTGGAAGAAACCATTTTCTATGTTTTTTTCTTTTTCCTTTTTTTTTTTTCATAGGAGTTATGTTGGGAGGATTTTAGATGCTGCAAATGAACTGGAAAAAGAGGCTGAGAAAATGCTAAAGCAGCATAATTTTTGTCTTCTTCCAGTGGAGGAAAATACCGACAGATTTATTATACCCAGATTTTTGCTGAGAAACAAGCATTTAGGATCTATTTTAAATTAATTTTGCAAGAATTTTTTTTTTTTTTTTTACAAGAAATAATTTATTTTCCTTCTCGTTAAATCTTGAAATACTAGAAGCAGTATGAAAGAAGCACTTGTAGATAAGCTTAAAAATTCCAGTATTTTAATTTGCTTATGCATTCACATTTGGTTTATTATTTGCAGTCTAACAGTCTTCATGCTCAGTCTAAAACCTTTAATTTCCTCTATAATATGTATCGCCGTGAAAGTGAACATATCAGAAGACTTAGGCACTACAGACATGACAGCAGACAACCCTTTGAAAATGTTTTTAAGGTTTCACTTGAAAAGGAAATTATGCCAATGGGCATTAATCATTTTGGAGGCTTCATATTGCATCACAGATATTTATAATGTTAATGAAAACAGTGACGCTGTTATGAGCTACTGAATCAAGAAGTTCATTTGCCCCAGTAACAGCAGGGGCTTGAAATGAGAAAAAAAATCTTTCAGACAGGGATGCTGCAAAGTTCTGAGTATGGAAAATCTTAGGAGTGTTGTGACATTCAAAAATGTCTCCAAAGATATGTTATGCCAAAAAACATGTAAATAGGCACATGCATATCTTACCTTTCTGCATTTCTTTGCATTGTAAACTACACAACAGCATTTTTTTTTCTGTCTACATCACTTTACTTAACAATATAGGGCAGTGATAGAGTTTTGAAAGTTCCTTGTGATTTTTTCATTCCAGCATTTTGATTGGTTTTAAGGTTAACATAAACTGATCTTTTCTGCCTAATTGGCTTTTTTTTTTTCTTTTTCTCCTTTGGGGATTGGACTCAATGATCTCTGGAGGTCTCTTCCAACCCCTACAATTCTGTGATTCTGTGATTTTATATAAGCAATTTAATTCCCAGTCGTGATATATCATGCAGGAGAAATATATATCAGAGAAAGAAGAAGATATGTCATGTGGAAAGGAGGAAGGAAGGAACTGCAAGAGGGATAGGCTATAACCTTAAAAAAAAAAATTGAAAGTTATCCAGAGTTTTTTTCTGGGGGGCCATACAATCTGTGTGTGATCTTGAAATGACTGGTTTTGGTCACAGCTGGCAAGATGTTGAATGTGGTCTTATTTGTGCTATTGGACATCTTCCATTTAATGCCATGGCTGTAAAGGGTGATACAAGTGTTGGCTTCATTTCAGAGTCAGTAGTACCAGCAAACATAGCCCAGCTAAAAATAATGAATTTTCAACTACTTATTTTCCTATTTTGCCTTGAGGTTAAGGCACTTTAGCATGCAAGCCTTCTGCAAGACATATTTGAGTCTACCAAATGTAGTTTAGCAGGTAATGAGATGCATTTTTTCATCGGGGTCATGCTACCTAATCAGATGCTAAATGTAATTATTCATGATCGAACCTCAAATACAATTTTAGAAAGTGTCTGTATTACAAACTAAGAAATCAACAGGAGGACTGCTTTAAACATGTTTTCAGTATGCCAACATTCCCTTTAATTATTTTTTGAAGTTTTGTATGAAGTCAAAAGACAAAAAGAACAAGCTCTGAAAAAGTTGTGAAAAAGAGATAGCATGTGCATGTCAGAAGAAACACAGGGAAAGAGAGCATAAAAGAAGTATAGAAAAAGAAAGGAAGTATTAAAAAGATGAAGAAACAAAGAAAGAGAAAGAAAGAAAGAAAGAAAGAAAGAAAGAAAGAAAGAAAGAAAGAAAGAAAGAAAGAAAGAAAGAAAGAGAGATAGAGAGATAGAGAGATAGAGAATAGAACTCATAGCATTTGATAGCCATAATTGCTCTGCTCTTTTATAAAGGCTTCCTTTTTCTGATTAGAGACTTGAAGATAGTTACTACTGAAAACAGTATTTAAAATTCATTCTTTTCCTCCTTTTTCTTTGAATTCTTCATTATGTAAAACATGTACTTCAGTGCTCTTGAAATGTTTTGTTCTCTTCATTAAATTGCTCCATTTTTATTTTAATGTCCCTATAGTCTCGATTTTTCTCTAAAAATGTCTGTATATCTGTTAAGAACACTTGTTCTTTCAGAACCTGTTTTCCCTTTTATTTTTTTAGTTCTTTTTCTGAGTGAAAATGTGATTTTGTTTCTTTTTTTTTTTTTTTTTTTTTAACACCTATTTGTCTTTTTTCTTTTTCTTTCAACAATTCTTTTGCTCCAAAAAAGGGCCCATCATTCCAGACCACATTCATTTTGTTTAAATCTGGCCAAAGAAGGACTGTGCACGATTAGTATATACAATAGATGAGTAATGATGATTTTTATTCCATCAGTATTAATTTTATGCCCTTGCCTAAAGATTACTTGTAAATGCTTAGATTTTAAATACTAAAGTAAACATCACCCCTATTGATATTTTGGAAATGTCAGGTTAGTTAATTGGGGTAATATACAGGTACACATTTCCAAACCAGTATATCAAACTTTGCCCACCATTGAGCGCATGCTCTGTCAGCTAGCAGAGGAAAGAAAGCCAGAGGAGCAGCTCAGGCCACCATAACCCATTCCTGCCTGCTCCTCTCTACTCTTTTTTTTGCTCCCCAAAGTGAGTTCAGAAAATGCCTATTTAGTTGGACCAGTTCTTTTGATATAGGCTTATACATCTTCACTTAAGGAAACGTTTTTATTGAGGGAGAAAAGCCTCATGACGGTATTTGTTTTTACTGTGGGTTTCAGCACTTCAAGAGTTATGGACACCATCTAACCTGCACTAATGTGCAGAAGCAGTATCAGGCTGATATACTGAGCATCATTACTTACCGTGGTCTTTTTAAGAAGTTGGGAATTGAAGGCTGAAATCTCAAGACAGTCCTCTCAGCAGTCCAAGGACTTGAGTTTAGAGTTATCCGTAAATTCTGTTTATGTTTATCCAATAAGAACTCAGCCAATGAGTGCTGCAAATAATCGTTTACTTAAACATAAATGGGAATTAATTAGTCTATCAAATGAAAGGAAAGAAGATTCTGAGCCAGGCATGCACTCATAGTCACAGTAGCACATCATAACTTTGCTCGATGTACCTAAAATTTCTTTTAAGTGTGGCTGCCAAATGATCGTGATTCTTTTGTTTATTAGCCAAAAATCCTACTCAAAATGGGAAAACTTCCAGTCTTTTCTATGATACTTATGACAGCATTTTTTAGTAGCTGATTCCTTATTAGAATATATTCCTCCAAAAAAATACATTTTGCTATTTATTGATTAGTGCTTATTTTTTAATGGAGCTGTTTTGCTAAGATTCAGTGTCAGGTGCATTTCTAACACCCCAGCTCCTCTATTCTGTGCATCAATTGGCACACTCATCAGTTAGCCAGTTCTGCAATAAAATAAATTAATGGACTATCCTATTTCATTTCATGGCATCCGGCCGATGGAGTACAGAAACTGCTATAAACCCTAGGACTCAGTGGGACTGCTGGTATGAGGAAGGAGTGCAGCATTTGGCCCACATTTTGCATTGATCAAGCAGAATTAAAATTAGCACAGCAGTTTACCTTGAATGAAGCAGAAAAGCGTGGTGCAGGCTATGCAGCCTCCCAACTACTAAATTGACCCCTTTCCTCTTTTATTTTCTCTTAGCTTAATTTTTGCCCTACTGAAATAAATGAGGCTACTTATACTGTGAAAGGAAGGACTGGATAATCTGACCAGTATAGCATATTAAAATTATATATATTCTATGGTTCATAATCAAATATGATTCTCTTCCTGAAATAAGCGCTATATGGCTGTAGTGATAATCACTAATGGGTCGGTTGGGTACCAGAGCACTGTAAATTCTGGTGATGAATACATGGGGATGCTGTAGACTTCTGCCTTGTATTATTTTAATAGAGAGCAGAGGAAAATAAGGGAAGATTTCCTCGGAGGTATGCTGATAAAATCTCACTTAATTATGTTATAGATCTCACATTGCTTAATTTTTTTTCTTAAAACTTCAGCTCTTTGAATCACATTATTTAAAAATGGATTTCCCTGGATGGGAAAAAAAAAAAAAAAAAAAAAAAACCCAAAAAAAGAGAGAATTCTTCATAGCTGGGAAGAAAATCTTTACACTGGAAACTTAAAAAGCAGAGAGTGAACACAAACAAAGGTAAAACGTGTTGATACAGAAGCCCAGTTCATGGATTCAGAACATGATGGCAAGCACTGCAGTAACATATCCCTGTTCTTCAGTGAGGCTCCTCAGGAACAATATAGCCAAAGGCAATGGGAGGACAGGGGTGGAAACAAGTATTTTTTGAACAACAGCTATATTTTTAGAGATATTGGAGGCTGTCAAGGTACAAGGACAGACATAAATACTTTTCCCTACCCTTTCAGATGAAACAAATAGCAGATAGAAGAATTTTGCACTGTAGAACGAGAGTGCAATTCAGCATTATAACATATTTATATTCTATACCTTCTACAGAAGAAAAATGGAGGACCAGAGGTGAAATCATAGGCTGAGTGATGTCATGGAAATAATGTCCTTAGAGGAGGACTTCATGCCAAAACCCAGGAGCAGACAGATTTCTGAGAAAGATCTTGATCATCAATAACTCCTGCTAATTCAGTGGAAATCACAGGTGGGCACTCGATATTTTGAAACTCCCTTGGTATGCTCAGTACTTTGAAACTCCCTTGGTATGTTATCTTTCCTGCTCTATTTCTGTCTGGTTTTTATTCCTCTATTGATTTTAATGGACTTCAATTAAGGTCTCTTGTCTCAGAATCTTTAGTGCTTTATTTATATGGAGCACAGACAGCTAGATACTGGTTTCATTTTTTCCCCCCTCAGAATCCTTAAAGGACTGAATTTTATTATTATTTTTTTTTACATTGGTATATTATTTTAATTGGGATAAATTTAGAAGCATTTAGATAGCTTTCAAACCATCTGCAGTTTCACTGATGCGTAATGACTTTATGGGTATATTTTGATAATTGACAATTACATTTTATTGCTTGCCATCCGACTGATGTTTAAAAAGTTCAGATTTGGTTAAAACTGTATTTTAGTTTCAAAGAAAATTCAACAAACCATTCCATCACTAGCTATAGCAAATGATAGGAGAGTTTTAGAGCAGAAGAACATTATTCCCTATTCATAAATTCAAATTGCTTCTTCCTCCTCATATTTCATATTTATGAGAATATAGCTTGAATTTTAAGATTAGCACCTCTGTCTACTGAAGTGTGAACTGCCAACTCCTCCCCTCATCTTTCCAACCACTGTAAATCTTCAATACCCACTGCCAATGAGGCGCAATATCAATTATGTACAAATAAATCTATGTAAAACCACTGCACAATTTCCTTCTTGAAAAAGAAAGAGCAATCACAATCAGCGTGAGTAACTAGTATCTTTGGAAGAGGATATTTTTGTTCCAAATTATGCTCTCACTAATTGGCTAGTGAGACTAGCCAATAGACTTCCACTGTCACTCTGGTATGCTATGTATATTTGAGGGATGGAATTGCCCTCAGAGACTCCACGAGTGGCTCTCAGGGAATAAAGATCAATGAAGCAGTCTTGCTGTGGTCAGAGTTTAACTTACTTTATACATATGCACATCAATCTCATAATGGAGTAAAGTCATAAGCAGGCAATCTATGATCCTTCTATAAACTTTAACCCATGTACCACAGTTCAGTTCCCAGGAAGCTATTCTGTCTTGGGAACTGCCTTGAAAGATGGAGAATAAAATGAAAGAACATGTTCTCAGCTATCTGACAATTTCTCTCTTTAGGAGAACAAAGAATAACATAGTATTTTCTAGGCAAAATCTCTGCTTTTCCTTCCCTCAGGAAAAAAAGAAACAAAAAACAACCAAGTTTAAACAGAATTGTCTGGTGACTCCTACCACAACATGATTAATCAATAGTACTTTGCACAGAATGACAGTGGAAACAAAAATGTCTATAATCAAGTTCCTCCTTAGTATTTAAAACCCATTCTGTGACATGCATCTGTGTGTTAACATTGGATAATCTATTCTTCATTATATCCCACGGACTGAAGTGGTTTTACACGTGCAGAAAATTTCTTCTGCCACAGAACTGAATTTTCTTTTGGTAAACTTACTGTGTACAAACTTCCCCTTCAACAATAAATTTTAACTTTATGCTCCTCTTCTTGGTAAACTACCCAACAAAACCTATGACTGAACTTCATTTTCCTTGATGTGTACCTATTTAGTGGCCAGGAAAAAAATGAACCTCTGTGCTGGTATGCTATAAAAGACCATAAAGAAAAGAATTCCTGGGTCAAGACAACTTCCCTTATCCACTCTTTAGTGTCCTAGCTTTTCAATGCTGGCATAGCTGAAGAGAGGGTGTGGAGCAAGATTGTTTTGTGAGCACCATGCCATCATACCCAAGGAGTCTGTTGGACACAATCCATGTTCCCAGCTAGAGAACTATCACCAGCTCCTGAATCTTCAATAGAGAACATTTGCTTTTTGGAAGTTCACTTCATCCACACAGTTTGGTGATAGATAAAGCTCCTTCAACATCACCTAGCGAGGCTAAGGTAGCTTTAAACACACAGCAGCATAATACATTTCCAGGAGCAATACCCCACATCTTTATTCATGATGTGAATGATGATCTGAGTAGTAATAATGAGATAGTGTGGCAAAGGTTTTCCATTGTGAACTGGTATTAATCTAATTTCCTACAGGACTCTTGTCTAAGTCAGAAAAAAAGCAAGCAGTTTAAAATTCTTTGGCAAGTCTCTGATGAAAAGAAGCCTGGGAAGTGCTAAGGATTGCTGGAGAATGCTAAATTACATTCACTCAGCTCTGCTGAGAAGGCTAAGCTGATTTTGGCAGGATTTTCCTAGTATATCCATTGCAAATTGGCTTCTTATTTTTATGAATATTAAGAGTCATCAACATTAAAGAAAATCTAGCAATAAGTATTCAAGGCCTTTGGAAGTGAATAATGACAATTTTACCATACTGTAGATTTTTACATAAATATGACAAATTAAGAGGGGGTGGGGGGTTAATTAAGTAATTAAATAAGATGTTATTTCAGATCAAGTAGGCATTTTGTGGCTGTGTATATCAAACAAAATTCTTTACCTGGTTCTAATGGCCAGCTGTTCCCAATATACAGAAAAGACATCAGCTGCCCACTATCATTTACCCATTTGGAAGATGGCAGCAGAGTAGCTTCTTTCTGCAGTTCCCTTTCCATTTGAATGTAATTTCTCTGTTTTACCAGTACAAAACACAAGTACTGCTGGACAAAGGCTGTCTTTATACTTCACGATGCTGCCAGAGATGATGGAGCCCAACTGGTTCCACTTCCATGGGGATAGATCTGAGTCTTACCTAGAAAAAGGATAGGTTGATGGGTTGTTAGTTGGACTAATTAATCTTAGCTATTTTTCCAATTTTGATGATTCTATGACTCTAAACACCAGCTTCTTGAAGTCTTATTACAATTTCTAACAATGTTTTTGCTATCTTCCCCACTAAGATTGCTTCTGGGGATGGGACCTAATGCTAAGAAAATTAATAACTTTAGATTTTTAATGGCAATGAGCCTTTCCCCATAGACATACTATAGGGAAGGCTGTTTACTGACCCAGTTCTGCTTTGTACTTAGTACAGCCCGTGCCTGTGCTGGGAGTTCTGAGGTGCCATGCTGGAAAACCAGGTTGGCACAGCCATTTCTACACTATAGTGGGCAGGAAAGGACTGTGAAAGACCAATTTTTTCCTTCCTAGAAGTTATAAGCAGGGGGATCACATCCTAGCGATAACCACTATTCTCCACTGATGTGACCAGAGATTCTCTGGGAACTGGTTCTTCAATTTAAGAAGTAATTCCCTAAATCACAGCATGGGAATATTTTACAGGATGTGTCAAATGACTTGGGTGAATTAGCATATCTGACAGGCAAGGAATGAAACTAGCATTCAACCTTGTACTTAATGAATAGTCCATATGTCCAGAGAAGCAGGTAATTTATAGTCTAACATTTTCTTTTGATCTGCCATTTGCTCTTTCTCTCTAGAATTAAATCACTTCGAAATGCACAGGGGAAGAAGGCAAAGGGAAGAAGTCTTTTTATTTTTAATTAGAATGTGCTAAATGGTAATAAAGTAATGTGAATACAGTGGGGACCTCTTAAATCCATAGCAGTAAATCTATTGCTGCAATAGGTCCATCCTTTATCTAGTGTTCATTGAAGAAGGTTTCACCTGAAGTGTAACAGTGACATGAACTGATAGTAATAGAGTAATACATTTAAAGAATTCAATAAAGCATCTGTTGTAGATAGTGATATGCCTTGTAATTTTATTGACGAAGGTTTGTTTTGTCCTGAGACATATAAAATGCTCGCTTAAATGGTTTGATTATACAGTACTTTTATAAAATATGCACTCAGCTGATTTCTTGTGCTATGCAGCTTGTCAGTGATTAGCCAAGATGATTTTTAAAATGGAAATAATTGGGTAGGCTCTTAAAAATTAGGATTTTGCTCACTTGGGAAGAAATGTAATGTGTGTGGAAGAAGCGGTAATTTCAGCATTACATTCCTTTGTATGTGAGTGTTAAGGCATTAGGTAAAGCATCACAAAAGAATGTTTTGAAATCTTATAGGTGGAAAAGGAAAAAGATTATTGACAAAATCTTAATGTAACCAGAAATCTACAGGTTTTTGTCTGTATTAGTGAAGAGTAATATGCAAGAGTTGAGATATGTTTCCAGGAAGATTTTTTTTTTCTCTTTCAACTGCCTGATTCTACTTGGATTAGTGGACTTTGGATATGAGTTTGGCTAAGAGGATATGTGTGGTGTTTGGACATAGTGCAGATTAATACTGGGATTACTTATTTCTAGGTTAGCAAGAGACTTGTTTTTCAAAGCATTACAAACTGGTGTTAGGCAGGGTGGCTACTTGGTCTGAAAGGGGGCTATTTGCCTAGAACACCCCTCTTTTCTTCTTTTCTAAGCATTTGGTTTTGGGCTAAGCTCTGTTCCTTCCTAGCCCAGCACTGCTCAGTGTTGCAGTTTTTCCTAACCCACTTCCATTCTCCTCTCAGCTTTACAGTAACGATGTTTTCCTTTTGTCAACAAAAGAATTTATGCCTTCTTGTTTCAACTTGCCTTCTAAAACATAAAGTAAATGATTTGTCTGAGGGATTATCAGACCTTTAGGACAGGGCTTTGAGGTACTTACAAGGTACATGCGTGGACATACAGTACAGTTCTTCTACTCAGTGTTTTGATTTATTTATTGTTGGTACACTTTGTTCTTTTATTTTTAACTGAAATATTTTAAGAAGTACTGCAACATTTCCTTTGGTAGAAGCAAGTGTGTGATTGCACACATCGTAAGGTTCTGTACTGCCAGCTTTTTGCTTTAATCTTAAATGACAGCTACATCTGTTGGAAGTTTGTTCCTATCTCTTGTTTTCTAAAGCTTGACAGGTTGAAGGAGCCCTTTTAATGACAGTCTGGGTATCTGCAGATAGTTTTTGAGATGCGCTTCCCAGGCTGTGAGATGCTTAAGGCTGGTTTTTCTCTCTGCTAGAGTTTCCCAGATCAACTAAAGTTACCCTAGCTGGTCTTTTTGATTGTGTGAGCTGGGCTTCATGTCTTGTCACACTGGGGTTAAACTCAGTGGATAGGTAGGTGGATTTAGGTGGTGGAGCAGAGCCAAAAGTTGTCACCGTTTATAGATGCGGCTCCAGTCAGCATTGTTCCATTTCCCTCCTTCTGGAGCCAGGTTTTGTTTTACTGATGCAATTGTTTGTCAGACTTTTATTGATTCTTCACTGACGATCACAGAACTGTGCACCACGGTACCACAAATGTTACGGACATTGTACTTAAAGGTCATTGATACAATTAATTTCCTACGTATTATTTTTGCAAGGACACGTCATTGTTATCAAGGTTAGAAAGCATAGAAGAGGTACATGAAGTCTGTGTGATTTGAAGTTCCTTAACTATTATAGTGCTGGGTAAAACTTTGCAGAGAGAATAGAAACAGAATAGCTAGAAATCACAGTCTCCTTGCAGAAACAGATGGAAGGCACTCGGTGCTGGCTGAGCTTGTTCTGACAAGGCTATGCCAAAAGTAAATGGGATTCAAAGCAGTACTTGCTGCAACTCTGTTAGTTCCCATAATTAAAAAACAAGTCATCACGTAGCTTTTTGCCTGTTATGTCTCAGGTATACTGAGTATGTCTCAGTATTTCCATCATAGTATCCTCATTTACCCTTACTCAACAGGAGGTTGAAATGGAAGATACTTCTACAATTATTTAGAGTTTTTTCTAGGTCTCTTCATGTTGGCATAATCATTTTCAATATGATACTCTTGAATAAAATGAGACATCAGACCAGTATTTACATTAAGCTGCAGTGTAATTCAGTGTTCCATAGTGCTTGAGTGAAAACAGTCTAAATAAACAGAATGAAGAGTACTTTAGCTAGAAATGTTCTTATCTCCCATAAAATTCATTTGGAGCTCAAAAATTAATTTATTGAGCTCCTTTACAGCATAAAAAAATAACTTACTCTTCTGACATCTAGACTGCAGTGCTGCCTAGACTAGTTTTGCTGCAAATACGGCCCAGAATCATTACAGATTTCTTTACAAATGTCTCAGTTGAAGGCATTTCCTTCCCAGCTAGTGGCATTGATATGACAGGTATAGAGAAAGACACTTTTTGTACCATCTCAGAGATGCTTCCAATGTCTCAGCACTCCTCCCTGCTAGGCTTTCAGGGAGACTCAAGGATCTCACTCTGGATACTGGGAGGTGGCCACACAAAAAAGGGCCTCAGGCATCAGACACAGTGCACTACCTGAGCTCAGCTTGGAAACCTCTCCTGAAGTTGTCCAAATGAAAGAGTTAGTCTCCTACCTCTTCTATAGATTTTTCTAATTCCTTTTTTTTTTTTTTTTTCTGATGTCATAGTAAAAATCAAAATGTGATTGCAATATCTGCATTATAATACACTTAGTCTGGGCTTTCAGATAGAATTTTAAGCTTTTTAAGCTTTTGAACAATCTCAGGTCATCAGTTCTTGATGGGGAGCATTTAACTTCTCTTGAGCTTATGCTTTTGATATTTGGGTTGTTGTTGTTAAACACAAGATACCAAAGAACACACAATAGCTGCATAGTAGCAATTCACAAGCTTTTTCAACATTAGACATGATTAATCATATAACTTAATTAGACTTTCTTTTCCCCATTTAAAATTAATATAGAATCTTTAGGTAATTACAGTGACTAACATTATTCAGTGGTAATACTAAGTAACGCTAAAATGCCTTAAGTGCAATCTGATAGCAATTTAATATGAAACAAGTTACAAATACTGTTACCAAAATACCAGTAGTGAAAAGCTAAAACAGTCTTAGGTGTGAAGAAATACTGAGTATGATATGGAAACCATGAAGAGCAAAATGCATCATTTCTAATCGGGCTGAGGGCAGCAGAAAGAGCACTGGCAGCGGTGCTTCTCAAAGTGTCTCCAGCTACCCCAGGTTTTTTCTCCCTCTCATATTTATTTTGATTCCTACTCAGGCCATTTCAAGCCTCTCTGCTCTCTCAAGGAGTTCGACATTCAAATATATTAGAAATGCAATCTACTTTCACAGTTTTATTTCATTGGTTTCCTAACTGTTATACAAATCAGGAGAAGCTTCTCCTAGATGTACGTGACCATTAAAATATGCAAGATGTAAGCCACAATGACTTCACTGACATTTCCTGCTGGGTTGTATTTTAGTGAGGTTTTTCAGCTGTTATACATAAGCAATGTCTCTGTATGTGGCAGCCATCAGCCTCTCTTGGGAGGCAGCACACACACAGATGAACACAAGTGTTGCCTCCACCTCAGTACCTGTTGTCTGCGCTAGGAGGGAGATGAGAACAGAGCAAAACTGGGCTTGCATAGCTGCTGAGTAATGCTGGAGCACTTGAGTGCTGAGCTAGGGAAGCAGGGAAGAAGTGACAGGTTCTGATTTTCCAAGCCATTGTATCTGAAATGATTGGCCAGGATATCAAGAGAAGATGAAACCCAAACCAGAAGGATTTGAGAGGTTTTGCTTTTTCTTACTGATTACAATGTTCTGCTGGTTATGATCAGAGAGAAGACAAGGCAAAAACTGAGTTTTTAAAATGAAAAAAAGTACTGAACTACAATTCATTTCTCAAAGAGAATTTCCACATAAAGGTATATGGTTATTTTAAAAGCAACAAAAACAGAAACACAAAACCCTTGTTTTTTTGTCTGTTCAACAGCACTATGCCAGTAAATCAAATCACTGTATCAGTGAAGTTGGTGACACTCTTTAATGAAAGTGCCAGGATCTTTAAACACAAAAGAATCAACAACAGTCCAATAGTTTTCACAAGATGACTGGGGCAGATGATGAGACGGAAGAGGCAAAAACTTTGCAGCTGGCAGGCACCCAAAGCTTCTTAAACCTCTTGTACTCTTTCTTAATAAATATGTCATTTCTATACCAGCCATGTTAATGCAGTGATAACAGCAGGAGAATAACTCTCTTTATAATTGTGCAAGACATCCAGATATATTCCCCTGTCTCCCTGACTAATGTTTCCAACATGACTTGTTAGCTTCTGCAATGATCAAGCAGCTATTAAAGATAAAACTGTGTTAACCTTTTCAAAAATTAGAAAAGCATGACTGTAACTGGAACTACAATAGCTTCCTGGAGAATAGAGCAAAAGGGTGAAAGATCATCCTGTTGAGTTGTTGGTAATGGATTTATTATTTATTTAGTATGTCTGAAATGCGTATGAAGAATGTAGCCCTATCCAAATGCCTCCTCTGTGTCCCTGTGTCAATAATCTGATCAATATAGGTAGGTAAGTAGGAAGATCATGGATTATTTTTTTCTAAGTTTTCTGTTTAGTTTCCCTCCTTGACACAGACTTTAGAAGACTAATAACAGAAAAAGAACTCTTAAAAGTCTGAAATTAGCACATTTTTCTCAATTTTGAGTTTAAACCTGAACACAAACCATCTCAATTCCAATGATCTTGTGAGAACTATCCCATTCATAAGAGCTTGTTCATATTTGTATATTCAGAGACCCATGAATTAGACACTAACATAATGCATAACACAGCTATACCCTCAACAATGTCAGCGAGGGTGTCACAAAGCATCCCATGCACTGACAATCTGGAAATTTAGGATATTCAGATATTGGCTTGTATGATGTCAGTGGAAAGTAAAAAAATCAACCTTGACATGCTTAAGCTGTAACCACAGGCAGGTCTCTGTTAACTGATAAGTATAATCTTTAGACTACAAGTGACAAAGAGGCAATAAATCCCAACCAGAAATAAGAATGACTGACAGTCCAAAACTACACTAACTTGGTCTACTATGAAAACATTTTTTTATTGTTTTCATTAAATAAGCTTTTTACTGAAGTTATCAGAGCTGCTGAAAATAGATGCAGATAGTAGCAGTATGAAAATTACAGAAATGCAATATAAAATCCCAGGCACATGGAATACTTATAAGGTCTGATGACTATCTAAGTATTGTCTCAGTTGCATTTTTTGAGATTTTAATCTCTGCAATTAATTCATTGTCTTCACACAAGGACTAGTAAAAGAGTTGTTTAAATGAATGTGTCCATATTAACCATTTTCCTATCTCCAGTCAGGTTGGCAAACACTATGAATCATCTCTTCTGATCCCTGCATGCTTTTGTAGAAGAAATTGGAAAGGCAACATCCAAGAGGAAATACATGAAGATCTAACCTGGCCTGTGTGAAAATATTCATGTCATAATGTAAGAGCTGCTGTCCTATCGATACACCTGAAAAACAGCCCCTAATAATTCAGGCAAGGGAAGACTGGATTAAGGCAATGAGGAAAAAAATTAGAGATAAAAGATAGACTTCTCTGTGATCTTGGATATTTGTTGTAATCTCCAGTATCAGAAATTTGCCCCAAGTGGTCATTTTGTCAGTGATTGACTTCTTCACCCTGATGGCTACTAGCAAATACAATCAACCCCAAAAGTCATCAAAATTTGGGGCGGTCCCCACGAAGGAAGGGGGCTCATCGAGGTTACCCTGGGCACCTCATTGCAAAGGAGAAAGAGCAGGCCCAGTTGTAAGTCATCTCTCACCATTTCTCAGTATATTCTTTCTATTTTATTAGGAAACCAAAAAGCAAAGCAAACAAGTACAAACTGTTCTACAGAAGCATTTTGTGCTGCAGGCGAAAGTGTCATTTTCTTGTAGCATCTCTTCTTACTTTATCTCCTCTTCCCACAGCCAGGCAAGAAACAAATGTGCCAACTCAGACAAATCCACCTTTCTCTCTTTGCATCTCATAGAAGACTTTGAAATTTCGGGACAAAATTGCCTTCTCTTATTCAAAACTGAACAAAGCAGGTATGTCCAGAGATATTATATGCTTCCCTATGAAAAGGAAAATTAATCTTCATGTTTTTCTTCATGGAGGACAAGTTGGTACTTACATAGTAATATTTATAAATATTTACAACTATTTATTAATATTTATTCTGAGTTAAACTTGTACAGAATGGTGCTATTTGCCCAGAGGAATACATCTACTGGGTTGTTCTCTTCCTCCTCTCAGTTCATGTGAGAGAAGCAGGTGGAGACATGTACAACTACAGCAAGCCCCAGCCTATGTGCTGGGTGATTTAACACTAGAAAGAGATGGAGAGGTAAACTGTGCTGGAAAAGGAACCTGAAAGGAATAATAAAAAGCTCTTCTCAGCAAAAAGAAGTATCAGAGCACCATTTCTCAGTAGGGTGTCCAGTTCCACGTCTAATCTGAGCAGAGCTGTGAGAAGTCTGGAAACTTCAACCTCTTCCAACACAGTGACAGTCCCAGCACTGTGCTTCAGCTGAGGACTGAAATATTGCAGATATAAAATTTCTATTGAACTGGGACAAAAATGGAGTATCATAATACTTGTACGCAAATAATTAGAGAATAAGAGGGCAATACTAAAACTATCAACTAGAAAATGACTTCAGCAGTATAGCATATCATTTTTTCGAACATAAACTTTGTGAAGTCAGAGATATTAAGAAAAATTCTGTAAATCCCTCTGGCAATAAGCAATGGAATTAAAACCCAAGCAAAATTAAATTTGAGAAGATTAATGTTCCTTTTTATATTTTGATGACAACTATAAACATAATGTAATTTTGTGAATTTACTGTTTTAAAATGCAAGCTGATACCCCACAATGGTGCAATTCAAGTCACCAAGCAAATAAGTACTTTTTATTCTAATGTCTCAGTAGATAAATTCTGCAGTAGTAACGAAATGGCTTTGAACTTCTTAAACACCATTTAAAATGATGCAGAAACAAGTAAGAAATTTATAAATGAAGCCTGGCTGTATTTAAAATGCATGTAGCAGGGCGGAAGAAAATAGAAATCCTTGTGGATCAGTTAGTCAATATGATGTCTGAAGCAAGTAGGAGGGACCAGAGAGCTCCTTCACAGAAAGAATGCATATCTTGCATTACCAGGTTAGATTATATTAGGAAAAGTTTTGCTAAATTTACCTTAACCAAAACTTCATCTTGGGTATTTTCTATGGAACATTTGGGCAAAATGGACACCTCAGCTCCACATTATATTTAACTCATCTACATATACTGTAAAAGGAACCTCAATAATCATATCTCGTCATTACTGCCATCAGAATTCTGCTTTTGTTAGACAAAATGCGAACACAAACATCATTTAGCTTTTTTCCACATAGATTTGACCTATATGGAAAAAGTAATGCTAAAAGGACATTTTAAGTCTATCTTCTCACCCATTTTTTTTTCAGGAATCAGCTCTCACAGGGCACAAATGTGCATAATAATCCACTTGAATGAATAAGCAGTCAAAACAATTAGAAGTAAACAATGTCACATCGTTGCCATAGAAGTGGCACAGTCATGCTGCAGCCTGACAGGTTTCTGAAAAGTCTATAGGGGATTTCACAATTCAAGGTCCTGCTTCCTCTGAAAATTATAGCAAAACCTCCCCAAGATTCACAGAAGCCTGTCTGGCTCTGTGCTGGCAGCAGCTGAGAATGACAAGAAGAGGGACGAAAGCAGGACAGTGTGAGCTACCAAGGACAGGGAGGAGAAAGAGCTTCAGTGCTCTCCTCTTGCTTTCAACTACATCCAGAGAGTCTTGCAAGCAAAACGGGGATTTTGCTATTTCTTGTCCAGAGCACTGGGGCTTGCCTGCATCAGAGCTGGTTTTACCTGGCCTTGCCAACTGCCCCTGGCCATCCCTGGACAGTTTTTCTCCTCTGCTTACTGAGTGCTGCTCTGGCTTCCAGATATATAAACACATAATTGGTCCTATCAAAAATAAACATAGTATCATAGTATTGCATGGGTTAGGAGGGATCTTAAAGATCACCCAAGACCATGGCATGAGTTCAGTGCCTCCCCCCCCGCTCATGTTGTCTAGGGCCCATCCATGGCCTTGAGCACCTCCAGGGATGGGGCAAACACAGCACCTCTGGGCAGCATTGCAGGGCCTCATTACTCTCAACATTTCCAGAACTTATCCCTGACATTCCTACACAAATATTTTTAATGCAGAATTGTAACAGCCATTAAATATTTAATATTAAGTAACCTGTGGGAACTTCTATGTATTCTATTTGAAGACTGAAGGTAATAATGAAAAGGTGAGAAGAAATGTGATTGCCAGTTCATCTGAAAGCATGTAGCAATTTTAGGATGTATTTTATATATGAACTCTTAAAATTTATACAGAAGAAATTAAATGTATAGAATGATTTATAGGTGGATTTAATAGGCTTGCAATTTTTTAGTTTCATACATCTTCATGGAAACAATTATAAATCTCTGTAACTTAAATTGCTTACCCAAGCTCTAGAGAAACAGCATAAACAAAGCAATTATTTGTAATAAACTTTCTCTTTAATATTTTGACACTCACCCCTTTGTAAAACTACATGAAATAATTTATCATGCTCAGTATTAGAAAATCAGATTTTATTTACTAAATTCATTTATTTTTTTGCAATTGTGTAGAAACCGTCATCCTTCTGTTATGGTAATCAACTCATTAAGCGTTAATACAATGATAATGCAATATCATCTATGCACAATTTTTATACATTTCAATGACTATAAATACAATTGTATTTTCTCCCCTATACATCACAATAATCTCAAAACTCTAGAAAATTCCTTTTGTAAGCTGCTACTTGAAGTAGTTGGAAATTCAGTTTTCATAATGGCCAGTGTTGACATTTTAAATGATAATTTGAGCAGTGTTTTCTGGAGGTCAGGCATTGATTTCTACACCCAACTGAAGAGTTTGATGGGGGCAGCCATCTCGATGTGAATCAGCATGAGCTGCATTGCAGAAAATCTCCACAGCTGTGGAAGATGTGGGATTTTTCAGAAAAGCAATTTTAGCCTTCAATCTACATCCTAAAATACAAGCGAAGTGTTATCGTTTGCTTGGAGTAGCACTTAAACTGGAGAGACAGAGTTCTGTGAAACACAGAACAAAACTCAGAATATAGGCAATTCAGGAGAAGAATGACATTGCAGCATACTTCCTTTGGAGAGCAACAACACTCAGACAGACTGCAATAGATGCAGAATGTCTTAGGTATATATTGCAGTATACAAAAGCTCCAAAAAGTTTGCTTTGAATAAAGAAAAAGACAAGCTGCTGAGAATAAGATTTATTTTGATGTAAGAAGAGCTTTGCTTAGGCTGTATGATTGCTGCAGAAGAAAGAACACTTACAAACAGAATGGAAATGTGACAGCACTGGGGATCAAGCCTTGAGATGTGCCACCATGTTTTTCTCCTAAAGAGATTATGGCCAGAAACACATTTTTAATTTAATGTAACCCCCTCCCCGTGCATTAATGTATGAAGAGATAATTCTGCACGTGTTCACATTATCATATCCCACAGCCTGAATTCTGCTTGTTAAACTTCATGCAAATTGATCAGATTTTGAGGTCAGGGTTGGCAGTTTTGCCTCGGGCGGCTGAAGTTTTGCATCAGTTGCTTCATGGACACCCACAGGTTGCTGCTGGCATCGATGGTATCAGGGACAGACCCTGGAGGATGAGGACTCCAAAAGGCAGCTCGTAAATGAAACTGTCTGATACTGTTATCGGTAGCTGTAGACAGCTTTTAATCTCTGTGGGCCTTCAGTAGCTGAGACGTACACATCCTGACTGCAGCCCACACAATGCTTCACCTTAGCATGAAATCAATGTTGGCTCTTGTCATGAAGAGGCTGGCATAACTGATGGCATAAATCTGTGTCCAATACCCCACGTACTGGATAAATTAAAGCAAACCACATACCTGTTCAAACAGAGCTTCTCTAACGGAGTAATCAAGATTGTAGTTACAGCTATAAAAGCATGCCGGTTGCAAATTGCATGTTTAGGCAACCTGTGTAACCTAAACTGAACAGGCCAGCCATGTATTTGAGTTCGTTTGCATCTCAGTCTCAGAATTTGGCTCAGCTTTGTGCAGTGATTCTTGGAAGCTTTGTAACATGAACTGGAAGAGGCTGGTTTTTCCAGCAGCCACTGACATTCTCCTCTGCTTCACTGTCCACAAGATGGCAACATCTGTGGGTCATCATCTCAGGATTTTCTCTGAAAAGGAAGAAAACAAGACAAAATATCTCTATATCAAAAGAATAGCGTCATATTTAAGAGATCACATTGGTTCCCTGTGCTCATTTCTGCCTTCTACCCTTTCAAGAAACCTTTGGGAAGTGGTACCTTCCCACTGTGTTTTCCAAAAGCAGAAGGGTCAGCACACTCCTCAAACACAGTCCAAATTGTTTTGATCCTCCTGTAAAAGATTTCAAACAATTTCCATGTCTTTTTTGCCTTTAGTTTTAATCTTTCTAAATCTTTTCGCTATGTACTGTTAGCAGTGAGGGCCAGATTCAAACAGCAATTTGACCTCTTTAAAAGGAAACCATTTCTGGCTTGAGTAGCCTCTGTAAATTGATGGGATTAATAGCATTTTGTTAAGCTCTACTTACAAACAGAGAAATAATTGCACTAAAGTTGGCATGGCTACAAAGATAAGGTAGCTGGTTAAAGCCTGGTCCCCTCTGTTTCACCAGCTGTATGTGCTGATTTGGTTTACCTTAAAAACTATCTGAAGCACCAGAAATAGCTTAGGCTGGATAATTTCTGTGGTTTCTGTCCCCACCTTTATCTTCCCTGAAGCACTGCCCCTTTGTAGGTGCCATAGATGACTTGACAACTATTGAATCACAAATGCAATTAATTTAATCCAAAATCAGATCCCTCAGTAGTAAGTGAGAAGTGTGTTGCAATCTTCTTCTCATCCTTCCTGCTGTACCAAACACCTTTCCACCCAAACTACAGTGTTGGACTGTGGCCCCTGCTGCTCTTAGGTGCCAGCTCCCTTCACCACCACAAAGTGATTAACACAATAAAACTGGTTTATGAGCTGTTGGCTCTGATCTACTTTATGTTGAATTTGGGTTCTTCATGACAGCCTGATAAAAGGACTGTCTGAAAGCCTGTTTTATGTTAGTTGATTTAATAAGAGGTATTATATTTCCTTATAAAAGTTAAGCAATGCATTGATTCACAGAAACAGTCAGTACTTTTTTAAATTCAGTGACAACCAGCCCAACTGAGCAGCACATAGAAAAACATCATTTTGGATGTCACTTCCCCTGCTAACTGCATCCCTGCCTTGGTGCCAGGGCATACTGTAATACCAGCATTGAGATGCAACCAGCCCAGGCTGCCCTCCAGTCTGTTCTCTGAGCCCAGTCCTCTCTCGAGAAGCTTTGATCCATCCATAAAGGTCTAATCACCACCTGAGACTGAGTATCTCACCAGCCTGGTCCAGCTCTACCCACAGAAATGTTGCACAATGTATCTCAGCCAGGAACAGTTCCCACCACTTCTCATCAAAGCATCCTCCCATCAACAGAGGTGCTAGGAGCAGAGGAAGAGCTCCTTGATATAAAATAGCAGAAGCTCTTTTTGCTCCACTCCTCAGCCTGTTCTGCACTTCTTTCAGGGCGAGTCCTGCCATTTTGCTGAAAATGCTCTGTATAGAAAGTATATGTACATTAAATTGCCTCTGTGACCATGTTTGACTCCTGCTCTACAAATAAATGGGAGTAGATAGCTCCCTTCCCTCAGGAACTTCTGTCTGCAGAAAACTGTGGATTGCTGGGATATGCAGATGAAACATCTCTTTCTCTCCACCAAGATATGAAAGCAAAGAGCTCCTTCCCCTTCTGAGCTTCAGGCCAAGGGGCTCCGACTCATACCGAGCAAATGGGAAGATGTGTGATTAGGTAACTTCCAAACTTCAGAAACATTTCCATTTCAAATTCTGACTTCCTGCCATGCACATACTCTTTTGCAGCCAGGCTCCGAGGCAATTTATTAACAACTCCAGTGGAGTGATATCTGCAGAATCTGTTTTTCAGCTTTTGACAGCTGAGCTGGGCTAATGTTCCTGTTCCAGAGTGCTGTCATGGAAGCAGTGCATATTCTATATATTCAATGAAGAAGTGTCCTTTGAAGGTGTAAATGAAATCGCTTATCTGAAGTAAAGAGATAAAAAATCAATTTAAAACATTTTAGATTGTTTATCAGCATGTAAGAAAAAAATACAAGATTGACCAGGTTTTACAAAGAAAGTTTTAAACCACAAACTACCAGTACTTTTAGGTTGTATTTCCTGTTCACTAAATTAAACGTTTCAATGGCTAGCAATGCATTTCAGAAAAATAAATTAAAAATAAATCAATAAACAATAGAATAAAACCTACTAAATGCTTTCAGTATTTTAACTTCTTAAATACAAAAAAATATTGAAGTTGTTTCTGCAACCTTAAAATATAACAGAACCCATTGAGATCAGCACTATATCCAAGATCTGAAATGAGGGGTTTTAAAAAATACCTGAAATACTCTAAATATTAGATAAAGAAAAGTTAGAGAGGTGTTCAGGGAAAGAATAAAGGCAATTTTTTCACATCAGGGATTTAAACGAATGTGAAATCATGAAAGTCTTAACATTGTTCTTGAACTTTCCCAGAACATAGGTCTTACTTGGATGAATGTTACAAGGAGAGTGGAAGAAGGACTTAGACTAAAACAGGATTGACATGCATGATGAATTACAGTTCATTAATCCAATTAATGAGTAATTTCAGAGGCTTTAATCCCAGATAAAGCTCTTTATTGCAGCTCTGTTGGCTAGTGATGCACAAACTAAGAGCCTGTCAGCAAATCAATTGTAAAATTCTATTAAATAAAGCCTGCCATACACTTCTGTAGCTTATGTGATAATATTTTGTCCAAAAAAAACCCCAAAACATATATATATATATATATATATATGTACATATGTAAGAGAAGGAGAGGAGGGAGCAATCTCTAACCTTATTCACTCTGATTTGTAATATAAGAGTTCAAGATATATTAAAAATGATGCAAGCCAGCTGAATGCAACTTCAGATATTTATAAGCACTCTTGATTTAGAAGGTAAACATATGCCCCAGTTTCTGAAGTCATCTGTGTGTATGATTTCCTCATACACATTCTGTTGACTAATGGGAGTCAATAAAGTACATCAGGCTGCTTTGGGAATAGTTTCTGTTCTGTTCTTAGTTTATTTGTGGTGCCACTGCATCCAAGTGATTCTTTCTGAGCACTTCAGAAATAGACTCTGTCCTCCAAATGTCTCACAAGCAGAGAGCAAAGAAAGGAGATAAAGAGAGGAAAAATTATGAGAGTTGTCTTCATTGACTGTAGAGTCATAGCACAACAGCTGACAGAGCAGCAAGTATGAAGCAAGCATTTGAAATTTCAGCTAAAAAGTCAAAACCTAAAACCTAAAAACCTAAAGAGTCAAAACACGATTTAAAGCAGAAACAACAGTGTTTCATGGCTTCTCAGAAAACCAGGAGGACTCCCCTCCCAAAAAACCATTCCCCTCTGACTGAACAAGGCTTTGTATCCCTGTTTTAACAACCCTCTCCCTCTGACAATCAAGCACTTCAAATATTCCCTTGCCCACCATAATGGAATGAAGAGTGGACCTTCACTAAGACGCCTCTGAAAACAGGCAGGCTGGCAACTTGCAGTGACAGCCACGTACTGACTTCTATGTAGCAACTTTGATTTGTTGAGTACTGGGCTACCCCACACGAAAAACATAAATGCATTCCACTTTAACAATGAAGAAGGCTTGCAGTACCGTGAGAGGCTGTGCAACACACACAAATATTGATCCTGATCTCTTTGAACAGCTATGTCAATTACCTTCCGCATTCTCAGTTTGTAAAAGCTGTGTTACCAAAGAGACAAGATCCTGCTATGAAGACTATTTAAGTAAAAGTGCATCCTTTCTGATATTGCCAAAGAGTATGCTGTGGGAGGATGGCAGTTCACACCCAATTACACACCATGATGGATTCATATTTCTTGATCAATGGCTTTGAAGCCTTCTGAAACAACATTGCACAATGACCCTCAGTCTTAAAGACCAAATAAGATGATTAGTGACATGCAGAAAAAAGGCTCAGAATTTCATGCATGTCAGAAAAACTCTTAAGCACTTTCTTTTTGTGGCAGTGCTCCTGAACTGGAAGAAACTTCAGTCACTCCAGCACAGAGAAAGCTGTTTGATGGAAACAAACAACTGCAGAGACTATAAGATCAGTAACACCATTGTCCCCGAAAGGCTTCCATTTAACAAAAGATATATCACAATTTGAAACCAAAAGCAAAATACTTGTGTGCCTATTGCTAGAATTTTGGATTTCTGCAGTTTGAAAATACAATGGAAATCACAAATGTTAATGAAGATTCAGTGCACATCAGCATGATGATGCATATTACTATAGCTGACAGATTTTGAAAATGAAGGTCATAAGAAATTGTGGCATTGAGAAAATCTTTTATGCTATTAGTGCTAAAAGTTTGTTCTATACCACGCAAAGCAAACACTGCATACTTCAGAAAATGCAACTGTTGAAGGAAAATGAATCTGATCCACAACTTAATCCCATTGTATGAATACAATCCTGAAAGTATAATGTCTATCCAGGAGAAACAATGCATGAATCAGTACTTGACTAATGGAAACAATAATTCCTGTAGTTGTTTCAATAACAACCATGGCTGAGAGTGTCCTAAAGGATCAACCAGTCTGAGGGTAAGACTGCTCAGCAGATTAGAAATCAAATCAAAATGAAAATGGGAGTGGAGAAAGAAAGTTCTCACCCTTGCAAAGTCCCAAGGAATATCAGAGCCACTCTGGGAGCATCTCCATGTGGGGATGTCAGATGCCATCCTTCACCTTCTCTCTGCACTGACCCACATGGGGGGGCACCTAGGAGGGTGGGCCAGTTCTGCCACCATCGAAATCTTTGATGACTGCAGTTTTTGGCCTCCCACCACAGCAGGAGTGTTAGCAGCCAGGTCACCAGAGGAACTGCCAAACATATGACAAGTGACAGGAATTGAAACACTTTGACCTTGAGCCATGCATAGGCTTGAAGCAGTGCATTTAGTGCCTCGAGAGGAGCAGGAGGCGTGAGACGTGCGTTTTGAAGAGAAAACTAAAACCGATAAAAGCACAAGATTAAGAAACGAATGAAAGTTACCAAAAAATGACCAGGCTGTTTAATGTGAGGAGAAAATGATCATGCTATAGTCCTCCAAATGCTTTTAAAGACAGAAAGGTATCCATATATCTTTTCTTCCGCCTTTGAAGCTTCAACTGTGAAAGTTAATCTAAAGGAAGCAAAATGCAGCCACTCTCTTCAGACCATTTGATATGCTATTGCTTGCAAACTTCCTTTAAAAATATCTTTCATAACTAAGAAAATTGCCATATGCTCACTGGCTTATAAATGGGAAATTAAAGATAAGAAAGTCTGAATAAAATAAGACTACTCGATATTAGCATTCCGAGCACTTGGCCAGTATCGGTCAATTACTTCACTGCTCTTCTTTGCCATCCCCAATCTCACTGAAAAATACAAGCCCACAACTTCCCCACGAGATGGATGTTATTAACCCATTTTTCATAGCTGAGAGCTGAGACACAGGGGAGATGGGTGACTCCCTCTGGGTCACCGTGCTGCTATTGAGAAAGCTGGAAATAGGCCTTGAATCTCGTTTATAAGACAAGACACAGGGCAGTTCATTTCAACCAGAGTGGTTTCCACATTGGGATTTTACAAGCTTACATTATATGGATGAATTAATAATTTGATGTCTCAAAAGCCTCCTGCTATTCACAGAACTCGTTTTAATTCTTACGTTACTTTTTTTTGGCAAGACTGAGACGAGCAGTGTGAGGGCAGAGGTGTGGTCTGATGGCATTTATCAGTGTCAGTTGTCACCTTACAAAGCGTTATGGGATGTACGTGTCCAGCTTTCACTGTTTGCACTGCTAGCAGATTGTGTGATCCCACTTTATTGCCTTTTGGCTTTTTCCCTTAAAAACAAACAAACAGTATACTGTTCCCTGGAGAAGGACAGGTAGTGCTTTTTACATCTAATAACGAGCCAAGAAGAAATCTATTCTGGAACACTCATTTTCACTCTGTTGCTGATCATAACATCAGTACTTCTTTTCTACGAGCACTCATTCAGCCTGCTGTTCCTACTAACACATTATACATGACATTTGCTATGTATAGTTAAATCAAATTTTATTTATGATATTCTCCATAGTGATAATGCACTTTGTGTCCAGGCCAAAACATTGAGAATTCAGTTGTTTTGCATTCATTATATGCTTCTTCCTCCCCAACCATACAAGGAATAGCATCCAAACGATGTTTGGATCCCCTGTCCCAATGCCAGGCAAATCTCTGCCAAAGACAGTTCTGATAAGAGGTGTTAAATGGTTAAACACAATGGATTTTGATTTTTTTTTTCATTTTATTTTCAGTCATTAGGGTAATTTCTTATATATGGAACATCACTTGTTCTTGAATACTGTGATAATGTGAGTCTCCAGTTAAAGACTGAAGATGAAATAATTAAAAATGGCTTATTGACCTTGAAAGCCACGTCCTTCTGAGCATCAATATGAGATATGCACATTAATTAGTGTTTTTCAAATTCAATCCTTAACATTTAGCAAAGGAGAACAGTTTTCTCAGTAAGTCAAAGACAGGCCTGGTTAGCCAGTAACTTTTTACATATTTGTCCACATCACAATTTTCTTCATCCTTGATTTAATCTGCAAAAATATTTAATAAGGAAAGCTCTGTTGAAAATAACATGTTTATTAGAGCTTCATTTTTGAAAAAAATTCTTTTGAATAGCAGACTGAATTGCTAGCATTATAGAGTAACCACTTCTTAATGAATAATAGAAATTTGAGATAAAGGACATCAAATTATTATGACTTACTAGAAGATACAAAGGACCAAATTTGCAAATGAAACTAGCTAAATTTTAACAAATATGTCCATAATAAATCTTAATTTCAGTATGACTTTCTAAAACTCCATTTCTATAGTATTTAACAAAAAGCTCTGTAAAGAAGAGCTTAAGCTTTATATTTTTTCACTTATTAGAGCGAGGAGTGGAATTTCTGACAAACACCAATAAAGAGTAAAATTTATATCTTGTCAATAGGACCTATTTTGTTGCTAAATTATCTCAGAAGTCTCACAGTCAGGAACACAGTAGTCTAAAGCAGTCAGGACATAGAAGAAACAGTGGGCAGGCAATCTTGTGCTAACTGAAAAGTGAGCACTGTAAGGGAACAACTGAATTGGGGCCTGAACCTCTGATTGACCACCTGAGGCGAGTAATGAGTCAGCTGTGGGAGCACAGGTGAAAGCAATTCACCCATGCTGCTGGAAGGGGTGGAGCCTGGCTGCACCTCTCCTGGACCCATTTAAGAGCTGACTACTGGGGTGGAAAGATCTCTTTGTGGAGATCCCTCCTTTGGAGTTTTACAGCGTGCCCAGGATAAGGGTAAGCACTCTATCTATTCTCTTTTTGGTATAATAACCTGCTTAGCCAAGCTCTCTTATGTTTTTCATGATTATAAGATCTGTATATTCATTGGTTATACAAGCATGATGGATGTTACTCATTCTCTCATACTGTAATCAAACTACAGAGCAAATCTCTTGTTGAGCTTTTCCTGTTAAATTTTACCTGCCTGCTATAGGTCCATCTTTATTATTTTATTTGACTTAATGATGGTATTATTAGACTTACCCTAATGGTAGACTAATTTTAAATAAGGAAGTTCAGTATACTGGTTGTTTACTCAGGAAAAGGTTAATCACACTGTATTTGTTGATTCTGAAGATGTTTAACTGATCTCTTGTCAGGAGATTCCTTATTACCAACCAATACCATGTGCACTATCAGAGTTTGAAATATGTACTTATGTTGGTCAGGGTAATTCAAGCCCAGAGTATCTGGAAGAATTTGCTTGCGTGGCTCTTCTGGGGGCTTGAACTATAGCTTGCACAAAACTGGTTTGGCACCACCAGATGAAGCAGAAATTCCACCTGTGAAGGACATCTGAAACACTACCAGTTTCCAACACTGCTGACTCCAAGTGCTAGCTCACAGTGAAACTGCATGAAAATGAGCATGCAAACTCATGCACATGCTTAAACTTTTGTGTGCATAAGTCTACTTTAATCTTGGTAACTCTTGAAGTATGAAGTTTTGGGGCTCCTCCTGAAATGCCATCCAGTAAAAGGGTATTCATCTTCTTTTTAGACTGTGGTGGAATATAATGGCAATGATTTCCCGGTAGTGTTATTTGTTTTGTAACTTTTTTTATCAAACACATACATTTTATATTATGATAACTTCATACATTATTTCAGTTATTGCCCGTCATCCTTCCACATCTATATGCTGTACTGTATTTTTTATTTCTGCTCTTTTCAATACATGTTTCTGAGTAGCTACATACAGACTTTAAAGTAAATAACATTGATGTGGTAAAAGTAGATTTCAGAACTAATATTCTATTGCTGCGTATGTAAGGGCTGAAGAAGTTTTACTGAAAAGAACAAAACTGTTATTAAGTTACAAGAGAATCAGCAGCAGTTTAGGAACAGTTAACAGACTAAGAATTTTGTTAAAAGTCAACCACCATCTCAATTTAAAAATACATTTCATGATATCCACAATTCATTTTATAAATGCGTTTCATCATCTCTCATTTACATTGGTTTCTTAATATGGATCATAGGCTGTTAGAGAGGAGTTAGGAGTAAGACTGAGATCCAGAGTGGTGTACCCAGAAAAGTTCACAGGTGAATGCAAATCAAAGTGAAACCTGAGGATCTCCAGGTGTTCCCAAGCTAATCTCTTATGAGTTAATGAGCCACATAAAGCCTGGCTTTTGTCATTATGCTTAAGCTCATTTTGCACTACTGGTCAGGCAGGAGCTGGGAAGCTTAGAAATGCTGTTTGAAGGGATGTCTCAAGGTCATCTATTGCAGTCTGCTTGAAGCAAGGTTGTCACGCAGGGATCAGGTCAGCCACAGTTAAAAGTCAGTGATGACTTCTGCTGCAAAGGTTGTTGAGATTGCTGGGCATCCTCAGCCCTGTTGATAGTCTGCTGATGGGCTGGTGGTTGAACTTGATGATCTTAGAGGTCTTCTCCAACCTTAACGATTCTAAAAAGGGAATGACTGTACCATCACCAGTCCAGCCAGCAATCAGCTGGAGCAAGCATACAGGCAGGAGGGGAAAACTGGACCTCCTTTGTTGTTGTGTGCGAAACTTAGTGTTGCAGCAGATAATCTATGAATATGGAAAGGCAAACTGCAGCCTTTATATAAATCATGTCTTTAGCTTACTAGCTACATTAAAATTAATAAAAAAGATAGAAAGAAGGTCTTAGTTTAATTAGCAATTGAGTTTGAACAGCACTTTATTATCTGTAGGTTTTAGGATCTTTCAAGATCTCTGGTGCAAAGCACATAGGAAAAACTGAAGGAACTCACTTAAATCTCATAAATTTGTTCTGCACTCTGTATACATGGAATTGCTTGCATGTGTAACATTCATTAGAGTGCTGAACTGGTTTAACAGAATCATGCTTCCAGAATTAACCTTTCTGGAAAGCACTTCTGTAAATGAGGACCAGTTTTCATTCTGGTTCTGTGTTACTTATAATTACTGTTCTGGTTTCAGTGAAGAAAGTAAGTTCAAGTGACTGGTCCAAAATTACACAACCACACTGATACTCAGCTAGCAATGGGAACTTCCTTCATCCAGTGCAGCACACCATCGCTATACATCACTCAGCTTGCAGTGAGAGAAGATGAAGGTAAGATTGACAGTTAATTTTCTCCCTTAATGCCTTATGTTAGTATTTGTTACATGCTTATAATTGTTTTAATTCTGAAAATTAATAGACTGAAGCTACACACAGATGAAACACTATAAGTACTTGAAGTAAAAGAAAGTAACTGAAATCTTAAATGTACCACTTTCTCTAGCTGCTTTTGTAGTCTTTCTGGTCTGAGTTTACTAAATTAAGTTCTCGACTTGGATGAAGTGCTGCAGAAGGGACTTTAAAAGCCAGCTGGCAGAGATGGATGGATGGAGTTTGCTCTCAAAAAACATCAGCAATAAAACTCTCATTGACTTTAGTAGGTGAAGAGTGAAGTCTAGAATGACTCAGTGCAGCAGGGTGCCTCTGGTTGCAGAGACATTTCTTCAGTATTTTTTGTGGAAGAGAGAATCTATCCAGTTTTTTGCCATCTAATTGAGCTTAGTAAAGGCTGGGGAATCCACAATATCTGTTACTGTGAGCATCCAAACTTTTAGAAGGCTTATCATGTTTCTCAAGTGAAACAGGTCAGCCATGCAGTTATGCGAGTGATTGTTAAAAGTATTGAAGACTTCTGTACTCATACTATTATAAGGATTACATAAATAATCAGGTTTGGTATTTAGTTTTGGAAAAATTGTTTTTCTCCTACCCTGCTATAGTAACTGTCATACATAGGAAGGTTGTTTGTTTTCTTTCATTAAAACTGTAGGGTAAAATATATGTTTCAGAGGTTAAAACTCAGTTTGAGCTGTAAATCTAGCCAAAGAAGGGAAAACTCTGCTTTGAGTCAGGTTTAAGAATGTGGCTGTAATGATGAATAATCATGATGATGGAAACTAAGGAGAGAACAGTCAGTAAAAGATCCTGGAGTTGTGGGGTTGTTACATGTTACCATTGAAATTCTGGTAAATAGAAATACTTGACAAAGGCTAGATGTTCTGCTAGTAGAACAAACCCTTGACTACTGCTCGTTGATAAATCTGATAGACTGTTCACTGGACAACATATTTAAGTCTTTTGTGGCTGAGATTGCTTCATGGTGTCTTCTATCCTAGTACTTCAGAGATAGCCTTAACTTAAAAAAAAAAAGGAAGAAAAGACATGAAAGCCTCTTGCAGTGCAGCACATTGCTCTAATTAAGTCTAGACTAGATTATTACAGATCTAATTCCCATGACTGTTATCTTGTAACCCTGTTCTTTGCATCGCATGGGTGAAATTTACCATTTCTCTAAGGTCCACTTCTAGCTCATCGTTTTGCTGAGTGTGTGCTATTCAGTGTGCACTAGTTCCACTCTCTTAAGTGAATTTTATTGGTTCTTTTTGTCTAAACAGGGGGATTACTTTTTATTTTCCATTGGGTTACATGTAAAAGCTTTTTAATCGTCTGTGCAGAAATGTTCTCTGGTACACAGACATTCAACAGACCAGTGGCAAGTGTAATTGAAAGGCTCTTTTCACACTGGGACACATCAAGAACATTACTAAGGCTTCTTTAGATTGAATTAATTTAGATATTTTGAAAATTAAGTTATTTTGGTCCTGGAACATGAAGAAGAAATAGCCAGAATTGCCATCCCTTGAGGTGTCCAAGGTCAGGCTGGATAGGGCCTGGGCAGCCTGATCTACTAGTCCAACCATGTCCATGGCAGAGGGTTTGGAACTGGGTGATCTTTGAGGCCCCTCCAACCCAACCATTCTGTAGTTCTATGATCTGCAAAGCCCCTTCCAACCCAAGCCATCCTGTGGTTTTTATGATTTGATGATATTTGTATTTGTTTGGCTTGACTTTAGCATTTGACTAGCAAGTGCTAAGTCATTTTGGGGTCAATGGGTTTATACATACACAATCTTGGCAATCCCAATGAAGGAGTCGTGGTGTCTGTAGCAGCATGTTGCAGCATGAAGCATTTCTGCACCTCCTCAGCTCCCACCCTGGCACTGCTGGGCACACAGACCAGCTGTACATGACTGTTCATGTTTCTGTCACCACTGTTTTAACTCAATATTACAAACTTTGTTTCCCCAGCAAAGAGCATTTGCTTTGAGTGTCATGTTTTTAATGTGCTGATTTATCATTGTCAAATACTGGATTTTTTTGTTGCCGAAATTTGAATATTGTATTTAAGTCACTATTGTGATTATGGATGTTTTAAATATAAATTGCTTTAAATTAAGAAAAAATATATTCTCTGTACTTCTCAGGCAGTCCCATTCTGATGTGCCTTACCTGACTCTGCATGGCTAGGTGACAGTCAATAGGACAAAGAGAGGGCTTCAAACTAGAAGAGGGGGAATTAAGGCTGGATGTAGGAAAACAATTCTTTGTGATATGGAGAGTGAAGCACTGGCACTTGTTGCACACGGAGGTGTTGGATGCCCATCCTTGCAGACCTCTCAAGGTGAGGCTGGACCAGGTTCTGTGCACCTGAAAGTGCTCCTATGCATTGTAGGCAGGTGGTCCAAATGGACTTTTGAAGATCCCTTCCAATTCAAATGATACTATGTGAATTATTTCTGCAAGAAGGGATCTGAGGAAGCTGAGTGCAGCTCTAGGAGCCTGAAATTCTGCAGCGGCTGTACCGAGGGAGTGGAGTAGTTGACATAACACCACCATCTACTGGACAGCCGTCAATTCTGCGAGCGGAGAGGTTGTGCAGATGAGAAGTGTGCGCGGCTCCTGGCAGCCACAGCTCCCTTGCTATGTAACAGAATTACCCTGATAAGCCCTCATCATGCAATTCCTTGTTACTTTTGTTATTTGTGTCGACTGAATTTCCAGGCTGCTCTCCGTGTGAGGTATAGCTAAATAGATGCGTAATAAGAAATGACTGCCTCGCGTGGATGTACACGCATAAGGAAATGGGGAACATTTTTCATCACAATTCTGAGCGGGGAGCAGCACAAGCTCAGCAGCTGTGTCCTGTAAAAGATATATTAATTTTATTCCCATCAGCTCTGGTATTATTTGCTCTTACAGATCTGTTGCTAGGTCACATACAGTTGCATGCATCACGCCTGCAAAGCAGAAACTAGAAATAGCAACATCCCCTGACAAGTTGAGATGCGTGCCTTGGCCAGATGTGGGAAGCAGCATGTGACAAACACAGAAATTGTTCATACAGGAAGTATAAATGCAGCAGGATTTCTTGCTGCTGTGTGTATTAGATGTGCTGTAGCCTTTTTTTATGCTTATTTCTGATACAAACAATTTCCAGTAGCATTGTGGGGTTTACCTGTTACAAAGGCAGTGTAAATTGATTTGAAAAGCCACAAGCCCATCAACTCAGTTCAAGTAGTTAAGGCACATCTGCAGCCTAAGGCAAAACCAAGGACAGTGCAGCTGGCATCTCATGCAGCACATTTTGCCTCCCTTGCCCAACTGCCCAGAAACTGCTGGCAATCAGCTCAGTGGAGAGCAGTTTCCAAAGGAGTCAGAAACAAGGCTGAAACGATAAGATCTGCTGCTGTCCCTTAAGTCCAGCTGAGTAATGGCCCTCCAGCAAAACACAGTGAGATTTCCTCCTTCTTCAGAGAGAATGGCTGGAGCTGTGTGATTCCCAACCCCATCAGCTCTTTTAGTTTTTACAGCATTATAAAAGCTCTTAATGCCTCTGGCTACCTCAGCCACCCCAAGTGGGGAAAGGGGAAAAGGATAAAAGCTCCTCGTGAAATGCTACTGGGTGGGAATTGTGATGCTGGGCAAAGCTCTTGGCTGGTCTGGGGCATGCAGGTGGGGACTGGGGAAGTCCTCACTAATGGGGATGAGAGTGGACACAGGGACCTGCCCAGAGCTTCCTCAGTTGAAAAAGTTATCTGGGGTACTTTAGATGGTTTTTGTTCATTTTTTTTTTTTTCTGGATGGTCTTTAGATACTCTTAATGTGCATTTTTACACCTGTACAATGGTAAATCCACAGCCTGAGAAACATACTTTCATTCTTGGACAAAAGAAACCTTCATCCTTCTAATGTATTTGTTTCTATTTACATATAAATGAGAATTAATAGTCAAGGTGCATTTTCTCTGTCAGTAGTAAAAAGAAGAGTAGTCACTGTGCATTTATTATGATTAGGTATGATTGGTGCCTGTCATGCATGAATGAAGCTGTATCTAGAGCTGATTTTCTATCTTACATAGAAAGGACTTAGATGGTGCTCTATTTTTTTTTTTTTTAAACCTGTTACCTATTCTGAAGCTAAATGCTGGTTGATGCAGTGGTATCTCCATTGTCCCTGTGGTGCATCTCTCTCAACCCAGTTCCTAATACTCTGCAGCCAACACACCCAGCAAGCTTGTACAAATTATTTTAATAGGACTACTGAGAGCAATCGCATTACTTAGTATCATAATGTCAAAAGCAAGGCTATTATAATATTGCCAAAATACTTATCAAATAATGTAAGCAGAGTATATTTTCAGTTTAGTAGTGAAATGATTGCATCTGAAACCAGCCTGGTTCTTCTGAACACCTGGCTTCCTGTATGTATCCTGCACATATTTTTGACTTAATTTCACAAGATGTGATATCTGCATACTCTGTATGTAAGTAAAGGAGGGGTATTGCATCTCCTGATGACATAACTATGAAGAACATCATGTGGAGGGAGGAGACATTTCTTTTTAATTCATTATTACAGTGGATAATCTTAAGTAGTTTATCTTTACAATTAGCTTTCATGCAAATATCAAGTACCAAGTGGCTTTTTTGCATGTTTTTCTTCAATAGTTTTCTGAAAACATTTATTTGAACGTGTTGCTTATTTTGAAATGTCGATTTAGAACTTCTGTCTTCAAAGCAAGTCTCTTTAGTTAACCTAGGAAAATACTATTATTGAGAATACAGAACCATATCAATACAATAACTTTTTTTTGGTATGGAGATCAAGTAATCCAGTACTTGCTGCAGAAAATAGAACACAACTTATATTGTGAGTCCATTAACAGTAACAACAAATCTTTTCTGGTTCTAGAGGCAGAATTAATTATTTAC